CTGGTCCTGTGGTGAGTTCAAGGCAGAATACAGTTAGGTAAGAGAGCTTACTGATGTGGAGCTCTGCTCCAGGACACTGGACTTACCACCCTAAGAAGAGTCCCCAGGCACAATGTTAGCCTGCCAAGATGATTCTTAGTACTTTTGCAGGTGATGGTTCACATACAGTAAAGCAGAAGTTTTGGAATTGGCACAGTAGATGGCAAAAGAGGACTAAAAAGGCAGAGTGGTCGGCATGCTGGCTAGCTAGGCTGTATCACACAGGGCTGGGGAGCATGCTGGCTAGCTAGACTGTATCACACAGCGCTGGGGAGCGCAGCAGGTGAGTTCTACAGGCAGGCCCTTTGGACACTGCTAACTGAAGCGATAAGGAGATTGCAGATCCCAGTGGTGCTTATCCTCTGTGGACAGGCTGATAGTGGGTGTTCTCCAGAGAGACCACAGGTGTTGAGATCCTGAAACAAGCCAGGTTGTGGTGCCTGTCACACACAGGAGAGGTGCAGCTCTCAAAAAGGAAGAGACTGAAAGAGCAAGACTCCTAGGGAGGAGGGTCACATAATTCCATGGCAGGTGATTGGGCAGTTATTACCCAACCCTTTCCCTCACAGGGACCTATAGCCATTTACTGTGATGCCTTTCTTATATGCAGGGTAGGGGAGGTACTTCTGTCAATATCAGGGTCTGATATTGACAAAGAGAGACCACGTATCATCGTGGTTCCTCTGTTAGAGTCAGGACGTGGGGACCTGGGCAGTAAATGGAACCTTGGACTGAATGGTGCTGTAATAGGTCCACAGGTGGGCCTACCCAGGAGCCATTTCCCAGTCTCCAGATGTCATTTGGAGTGATTTACTTTGTTGGAATAACCACCAGATACCAGTGCCTGGCAGTGGAAAGGAAGCCCAAGTACATGGCTTTGAGACTGCCTTTCCAGCCAGTACAGTAACTCAAAGCATAACAGCTTAAGTTGATAGGCAGACTTAGTGCCCTCCTCACAACTTTTGGAGGTGTCCCTGTGATGTTTCCATTTAATTCACAAGTTAGGTACTGGTGCCAGGAACCTGGAGAATGACTACACAGACACTTAACCAAGTCATAGCTGAATTAACAGCTGCTGACTGGGTGTGTTGCCCACAACTGACAAAGCTTCAGGTGTGTGATGTGCAATATTGATCAGGTGAGTGCATTCCTATCTGAATTAGAAAGGAAGGTCAAATAGTTTATGTTCACTTGGGGCGGACAGTATAAACCTGCACCTTGCCCCATGACTGTTAGGAAGTGTTTTGATAACATGCTAATCCAACAGCACAAATAAGAAATGTCATCTCTTGGGGGTCTTGCTGTGCAACAGAGGGGAGATGAACCCTACAGTGATTCAGAGGCCCACATAGCTAAAGTTTTTGGGAATTCAGTGGTATGGGATGTGATAGGATATCCCCTTGAAAGGGGCAGATTATGCATTACCCCCCCACACACACACCAGCAGCTGATAGAAATGTTTGCACTCAGGGAGTAAAGGTAGTATATTCCACAGTTGGGAATAGTTTCCCAGCTCATACAGTGAGCAATCAAAAGCTACCTGCTTCATGTGAGGCCTCTGATCATGTCCAGGCAGCGCAGCAAGTAGCCTGCCATATGCACTGCCAGCACAACAGACTTTGTGGTGTTAGAGGTGGAAAAAATTCTGTGGCATTTATGGCGAGGCCCAAGGAGAATCATAATTCAGACTCCAAAAGACTGGAGCAAGGCAATGTCATTAATTGACAGCAAAGAATCATAAGTCCTCTGAAAAATTAAAGCAACAAATGACTCCTGCCATAGTACTGGTTCTTGCAGAGATGGTGATGGAGACTATGAGGACATCAAATAACTGAAGCCCAAATGATCCAGCATTGGCTGGTTCTGTTACAACTTCAAGAGGAGGGCCTGCAGCAATCCTCCTCTTGGAAAGTGATTTATTTGGTATTGGGTACAAGCAGGCTAGTAGGCACTACCAACTGCCTGAGCAGTTGGCTCAAACCCCCAGGGCTTGGTTTACAGTGCCTTATCTCAGTATGTAGATACTCATAATACTCAGTATGTAATCACAGCCCAGACTGGTTGCAGATGCACCACAGCCCAGTTCAGGCACCCTGGTAAATCCAAAGGGCAAAACTTCAGGTGGAATGCTTGGCCATCCACTGTATGGAAGTGGCACTAAGGTTAAAAGACCCTGGGACCTGTAGACAAAGGTGAGTGGCTTGACTTGTTGGCCAGGGACCTAGAATAAGAAAAATCAGAACATTTGGCTCAGAATTCTTGAGGCAAAGCAAATGGGTAGATCCATGGGATGAATTAAAGTATCTCCCACCTGTGAACATCCACTGCCGAGGCCAATTGACACATTCTAGTCTCAGTGTATTATGTCTCAGTGTTGATACATGGTTACTTTGTTAACCATGGGATAGGTTATTTGGGGGTAGAGGTTGTGCATGGACCTTCTCACCAGGACTGATTTAGCTGTTTCTCTTCCAACTGCAGAGACTGAGCTCAGAGCTCCCAGTGGCATCATCTTTTGGGAACGGTCACTTGGTGGCAGATTGGCCACACTGAAGTCCCTATGCTCTGAAATTCTTTTTCTGAGATGGTGTCTCATTGTGTGGCCAAGGCTAGTCTTGTTTAAGTATCTTTCCACCTTAGCCTCCCAAGCAACTGGACCACAGATACATGCCAGCATGTGCAGTTACCTAGTGACTCATCTGGACCAAATCAACGCGTGTTCTAGGCATGGGTTCTCTTTTCCCATTCTCAGGGCCTCTGTCAGCTCCATCTTCCAAGGCTCCCAGAGCACTTATCTACTGACACAGGATCAGTATACAGAGAGGGGCCGCAGCAGTGTATACATAACAGTGCTACCCACCCATCCCCTCACAGCCAAAACCCAGAAGCTGCTAGCCTGACAGCAGAATGGTCCATGGAGGCATAACTCTGGGACCATCTTGAAGTGAATAGTAGTTTCCAGAGTATAGTGTATACTGGCACAACAGTGACTTGCTGGTACCATGTCCCCAAGATGTAGTCACTAGTGTGGTAATCAAAAGCTAGAAATCATTACTCACAGTGACCGTTTAGGAAGAGTGTGTTCATCACACCTCTGTTGTCCAGGCCTTGACTCCCAGAGGGAAACCCACCCAGGGCACAGAAGACTGCCATTCAATTTCAAGCTAAAGCCACTGGTCATTCCAGTCTCCTTGTGACAGGCAAGGAGCACAGTCTCTGTCCTGCTAGGGTAATTGACCTGGGAACGAAAGGAGGGTGTAGCTGACATTACCTGGAGCAGCTGGCTATTCTGCTCCAGAGGTCCTTTGGTCTGTTCCCTTTCAATACCATGTGGATCTAATTATAGTGCCTTTAAAGTATGTTCTGATAATCTAGCATGGCAGTTCCTTTATTTTTTTTAACTTATCTTTTATCAGGGATTTAGTTTTCACATTCATTTTGAAATTATTAAGTTCAAATATCCCTGTAGGTGTGTAATTGGAACTAGATTAAATGTATATTTTGAAAAAATATAACATTTTATACATATTCTAATGCTGTCTTTCCACTTGTTTTTAAAATATTTTATTATTTTTATTTTATGTGCATGAGTGTATTGCTGGCATATATGTAAATGCACCCATATTGTGCAGTGCCCTCAGAGTTCAGAATAGGGTATTGGATCCCCTGGAGCTGGAGTTATGGACATTTGTTAGCCGCCATGTGGTTACTAGAGCCTGAACCTGAGTCCTCTGCAAGTGCTCTTAACCACCTGAGCCATCTCTCCAACCCCCTCCACTTGTTTTAAAAAAGATTTACTTATTTTTATTTATGTGTATGAAGTGTTTTGCCTGCATATATGTAAGTGCACCACATATGTACAGTGCTCACAGAGGCCAGACGAAGGCATCAGATCCCCTAGAACTGGAATTATAGATGGTTGTTAGCCACCATGTAGGTTCTTGGAATGAAACCTAGGTCTGCAAGAGCAGGAAGTGCTCTTGACTACTGTGCCCCACTCTCCAGCCCATCTTTTCATTTGTAAGGTCATGTTTTATGTCATTGCATAAGAATTTAAGTTTTCATTATTGAGAATGTTGAACGTTTTCTGTTAAAGGTATCCTTAGTCATTTTTTTCTGTTGTAAATGAAATCTTTTCCCCCATGTGCATTTCTTGGTGGTTGTTGCTGCTAGAGAGGAAACATCTGTCAAAGTGGCTAAGAGCACAGCTGTCCCAGTTACACTGCCTGGGACTGAACCCTAGTTCCATCCTTTACCACTTAGCCCAGGCTTATTGAGTTATTTTCGTGTGCACATGTGTGTGCATATGTAGGCCAGAGGTCAACTTTGGGTGTCATTTCTGAGGAGCTAGCTGTTCACCTTTTTCTTGAGACAAGGTCTCCCACTGGACCTGGGGCATGATGATAGGCTAGCCTAGATGTAGTGAGCCCTAGGCATCCCTCTGCCTCTACCTCCCCAGCACTGGGATAGCAAGTTTTGCCACCACACATGGCTTTTGGTTTCTAGGGATTTAATTTGAGTCCTCAGGCTCGCACAGCAAATGCTTTACTAACTGAGCCATCTATGAGGCTCCCAGCTGAGGCTTATTAAAATTAAAGTCTAAATTAGGTGTTTGTATCAGTAATGTTTCCCTGAGCCTCTGATTGTTCTAATGCACGATTATTCAACACAACAATTGCCTCAAAACTTGAATACTTTTAAGATGTCTATGAAATACTGACTTTGAATTTTCAAAATCAAGTATTCAGTGCAAATTCCAAGTGTTCATAAATAAGAGTTTCATGATTGCACAGATCTGTGTTCAGTCAGTTGGAAGACACTTTACATAACCACTTGCTGCAATGGTCCTATGCATTTCAGTTGTGCTGGTAATGGATAACTAGTATGACTATAGAGGCTATTTTCAAAGCTTGGCTAATTTTATAATTTATTTTTCAACTTTAATGTTTTATTTTCTAAAGCTTCAAAAATGACAGACAAATCCAGTGTCCAGTACTCAATGCTCTCCGAAGATGGGAAGAATGAACCACTAGAAACAAAGGTAAGACACCCCATTTGTTACCACACCATGAAGCATCCTGGTGCATGCTGAACACTTGGCTATAATGCTTTAAATAAAATTCCTATTCTCCAGGACCACAGGGTTTGATTTGGACTTTGGGGGGTGGCACGTGACATGGGACAGCAACAGAAGGAACCACAAACCTGCTCCATATGTGCATTAAGTGCTGTTATAGCAAAGTTCAGCATCCTCTGAGGCCAGGAGGAGGGACTCTAACCCAGCCTCAGAGCTGCTGCAGTTTTTGTGTCTGAGGAGTCGGGGCAGGAATTTGGGATTTTTTGTGAAGTATTAAAATTGCATCTGAGTTGGAATGTAGTGGGTGATAAGGAGGTGTGTAGACCTAGGGTCTTACCTTTAGAGAGTGAGAACACCAGGGAATTCTGAAGGGCTAAGAGAAAAATGCTTGGAACTTCAGAAGAAATAACTAGTTCAAGATATAAAGGCCATAGTGGATGAGTTGAGCAGTTTGGGCTGGACAGGAAAAAGAAGTTGTGTCACTGAAGGCCTGGCATAGGAGATGGGAGCAAACTGTGTGTGTTCAGGTTCTAACCTAGTATTTTTTTTTAATAATAGACATTTAAAACTATTTTATTTATCGTTTTTATTTTATGTGTATGAGTGTATTGCCTGCATGTATGTGAGTGCTCCCATGTTGTGCAATTCCACAGAGGCCAGAAGAGGGCTTCGGATTCCCCTGGAACTGGAGTTAAGGACGGTTCGTAGCCACCATGTGGGTCCTGGGAATTGAACCCGGATCCTCTGCAAGAGCAGTCAGTGCTCTTAACCGCTGAGCCATCTTTCCAGCCCCCCTAGTTTTATTTTTTGAGCTGTTTAATTTTTATTGCATTTTATTTATTTTGTGTAGGGGGGATTGGGGGGGCATGGCATGCATGTGCTACAGCATGAGTGTGGGAGTCAGAGGACAACTTGCAGGAGTTGGTTCTCTCCTTCCACCATGTGGGTCCTGGAGATGGAACTGAGGCTGTCAGGTTTGGTGGCAGATGCCTTTACCCTGAGCCAGTTGTCAGCCTCCAGCCTAATTTAAAGTTAACTTCTGTAAATGGGGACAAGGAGGAGACTGATCTCTTGTGTTGGAAGGGTGATTATTTGGCCCAAGAATTTTGAAAAGCTGTATACTTTCTGAAATACTTTAAAGTTGAAATGTAAAACGTTCAGCACAAGTTTTAAAAGTTTCAAAGGACATGATTTCTGGCATATTGTTAATATTGACATTTTTTAAACTGTCATACCAAAATTTAAATATATTCATTATGATTCAAAGCACTCTCTGGAAATTTAATACCCACAATCATCTTTAAAAAAAAAAAAACACTAGTAAGATCTTCAATAGTCTGAAATCTTATATTTTTTTTTCTTAGTGAATTTCTTTTCTTGAAAACTCCTCCATGGAGTTTTTAATCAATATAATTTTATGCCTAAGAGTCTGTTCTTGAAAACTGTTTCTCTGCAGTAAAAATATGAATATAAATGTTAAATTTTCCCTAGCATATGACCAAGAGTTAAAATATTTTCTTTCAAAATTACTTTGAAAGTAATATTAGAACTGGAGAGATGGCTCAGTGGTTAAGAGCACTGGCTGGCTGCTCTTGCAGAAAACTTGGGTTCGGTTCCCAGCACCCACATGGTGGCTAACAGTTGTCTGTAACTACAGTTCCAGAGGAATCCAGCACCCTCTTCTGGCCTCCACAGGCATTGCATGATGTGGTGCACTTATACATGACGAAACACTCAATATACATAAAGTAAAAATAAAATTTAAAAAGTAATAAAATTATTCAGTGCTTAAAAAACAGAAAGGAAAAACCCTTGGGGTGGGGGGTTTATTCAGTGCTTAAAAATAGAAAGGAAAAAAATTTAAAAAGTAATAAAATTATTCAGTGCTTAAAAAACAGAAAGGAAAAACCCTTGGGGTGGGGGGTTTATTCAGTGCTTAAAAATAGAAAGGAAAAAAATTTAAAAAGTAATATTAATGTACAGTTGTCCAAAGCAAGGTATATTATAAATTTGGAAGTAAGCACTTAAAGTACTACTGGAAATGAATCTTCTAATGAAATGGGTAGAGAGACCTCCCTCATCAGTGGTTCTGTGGATCTGTCAGTGAAGATTGCACATTGCTGGATTAAGGACAAAAATAGCTGATAAGCTTGGTTTTTTCCCTTTTAAATTTAATAGGTCAGTTAACATAGTCAAACAGTTTTGGTAATTTTATTTTCTCTGTGACTGGCCTCTACTTGGAGTTGTAAATTACTGACTCTCACTCTTGGGCATGCATCTTCTGACATGCCCAATGCCCAGCAAAGGCTGCAGGAAGCATGTTGAGCTTTTACCTGCTCTAGCCTCAGCATTCAATTGTTCACAGTTCAGAAAGACGCTGTGTAGCTTTGCTGGAAAGTATGGATATGGCCTGGAGGGATGGCTCAGTGGTAGAGCGTTTGCCCAGCATGCCCTGCAGGAAATGAAAAGAGAATGATCACAGATAATGTAATGTGCTCACATTATCTTAGTCAAGCTGTATCGGTTTGGTTTATAGACCTGTCCTATAAATCTATATTGTAATAAAATACTTTGCTCTTTTCTGCAGAACCATAACTCTTTAATAAGCCAGACATCGAGAGGATCCATTGAGCTCGCTCCTCAGTCCTCCATTACTAAGCTCACGGGTCAGCTGGCTGCTGGTCAAGTACAGAAGAACATTAGCTCTTTAACTCTTTCCAGTGGTATAATTCCCCCATGTAATCAGGAAGCTTCAATTTTACAGAAAATGAAATATAAGAGAAAGCATTTCATGAAGGAAAATATAAGTAAAGGAAGAAAGGAAAGCATGAATCTTAAAAGAAAGCATATTACATATAGTAATTCATTAGAGAAAACAAATACACATGTGGCACTGGAAGATGATACCAACGAGGCTGAGACCCATCTGAACTCTGAGGACTCAGGAGCATTTGGAAAACAGCTTTGTGATATTAGGTATTTGGATGATTTGGCAAAAGTCCAGCTGATGGATGTTCTCAAGCAGGCTGCAGCCCTGGTAGTGACACTGATGTACAAGGATGGTTCCACGCAGCTCAGAGCCAACCAGGTTAGTACATGGTGGCACAAGCTTGTGGTACTAGCAATTGACAGACTGAGGCAGGAAGATAACTTGAACCCTGGAATCAGGAACCAGCCTGGAGAACATAGTGAGATCTCATCTGAAAACAAGTCCCCTTTCTGATTTTGATAGGAGAGCTAGGAATAAGATTTGAAGCCTTCCTCTCCTCTTCTATGGTAAGTAGTTGACAGACAATGTAGTGTCCATCGATTCTTAGGCAACTGCTAAACTGCTTTCTGGAGGAGCAGTTTTACATCCAAGATACGAGGATTCAAACGTTCCCCCCGCTTGACAGGACTTGTCTTTCCTAGTCTAGCCATTCCAGTGGGTACAAGTGGTATCTCATTGTACTTTTTAAAAAATTTAAAAAAACTTTATGTGTATGAATGTTATGCCTGCATGTAGGTAAGTGCACCCGTGTCGTGCAAGGCCCACGGAGGACAGAAGAGACTGTTGTATCCCCTGGAACTGGAGTTACAGACAGTTGTTAGCTGTCATGTGGGTGCTGAGATTTGAACCTGGGTCTTCTGCAAGAACAGTCAATGTTCTTAACTGCTGAGCCATCTCTCCAGCCCCTCATTGTACTTTTGAATTGCACTTACTCAATACTGGTGGTATTGACTATCTTTTCATGCTCTTACTGGCTATTGGTATATCTTCTTTGGTGAAATTCCAAGAATTTTTCCTCATTTGAAAATTGGGATATTTGTATTCTTGTTTTGATCTATAAGAGTTTTATTATGTATTTGCTTAGGAGGACGTGCACACATATAGAGGTCAGAGACAACTGGGAGGGGAAGGTTCTCTTCTACCATGAGGGTTCGGAAATGGAACTTAGGTTGTCAGGTTTGGCAGCAAGTCCCTTAACCTGCTGAGCCATTTCACAGACCCCTGTAAGAGTTCTTTGCATGTTCTTTATATCATTCAAGTCCCTAATAAGATCTATGATTTCCAGGTCTCCAAATCTGTGGTCTGGTTTTTGTTCAAATTTCTTGAGAGTGTCTTTAGGGAAAAAGAAAAAAAAAAAACTTTGAAGAACTCCAAAGGCTTTGCTTTTGTTATTTTATTCAGAATGCTTTGGGACTCAGGAGGTGGCTCAGGTGGGTGGCTTGGTGGGTGAGAGTACTTGCTTTATGAGCATGATGACCTGATCTTAAATCCCCAGCCCTTAAGAAAAAGCTAGCATGGCTGTGCATGCCTGTAAATTAGGAGGCAAAGACAAGCACAGCCAGCCAGTGTAACCACGATGGCCAGCTTTCAGTTCAGTGAAAGATAGTGCCTCAAGGCAGTAACAGAGAGCCACTGAGGAAGATTCCCGTCTTGCTCTGGCCTCTGTATGTCCCACACAGTCATGTGCATGTACTACACACACACACACACACACACACACACACACACACATACATACACACTCACTGCTTCTGTCCTGGATTAAGATTTGCTCTAGTTTTATTCTTACGTGTTTGTAGTTTTAGCTCTTATATTTAAATCTGTGATCCATTGTAATTAATCTTTTTTTTAATGGTGTCTTCTTGTTTTAATTTGTATTTGTCTACACTGCTACTGGGGTTGAGTATCTTCATATATCTGTATGTTCTTTTTTAAAAAAAATATTTTTGAGACAAGATCTCCTTGTAGTCCCAGCTGCCCTGGAACTCACTATGTAGACCAGGCTAGCCTCAAACTCACAAAGATCCATCTGCCTCTGCCTCCCAGGTGCTGGAATTAAAGGTATGTGCCACCGCGCCAGTGTAGTCAATCTTTTTTATAGGCTGTGACATAGGGGCAGAAATTCACCCTTTGCATGTGATTTATTGTCCCAATTCCATTTTTGAAAACACTTGTTTCAACAGTGCTCACTGAATTTTCTTAGTACTTGTGTTTGTTACATTTTTGATGCTGTGACAGAATGTCTGACAAAAACACCTTAAGGAAGGAAGGGTTTATTTTGCTCACAGTTTGAGAGTACAGTCCTTCATGGTGGGGAAGGTGTGGTGGCAGGAGCTTGAGGCAGCTGGTCACATTGCATCCACAGTCAGAAGCAGAGGGAGGTGAGTGCCGGTGTTAGCTGACTTTCTTCTTTTTACTATATTCAGTCCAGGACCCCGGCCCATGGGATGGTGTCACCCACATTCAGAACAGGTCTTCTCTGCTCAGCCAGATCTTTCTGGGAACACTCTCATAGACATACCCAGAGTGTTTCCATGGTAGTTCTAAGTTTAGTCACATTGACAATGAAGTTAACCGTCGTAATAATTTTATTGAAAATCAATTGGCTATAGAGAAAAAATCAGTTGGCTTCTGTTTATCTTTTCTGTTGTTTTTGTTTTGTTTTGTTTGAGACCAGGTCTTACTATATAGCCCAGGCTGGCCTTGAACTCAAACTCATAATTATCCTCCTGCCTCAGCTCAAATGTTAGGATTATAAGAACGCTAAGGGGGCTGGAGAGATGGCTCAGCAGTTAAGAACATTGAATGTTCTTGCAGAAGACTTGGGTTTGAATCCCAGCACCCACATGGCAGTTAACAACTGTCCATAACTCCAGTTCCAGGGGATCCGACAGCCTCTTCTGTCCTCCACAGGCATTGCACAACACAGCTGCACTTACCTACATGAAAGCAATACACGCATACACATAAAAAATAATAAATAAGAATTTTTGTAAGTACGCTAAGGGTTGGTTTCGGGATGTTTGACTCTCCTTTTATCTTTGGTTCTTTCTAGTGCTAGAAATCTTACTGCCTTATTTTCTGAGCTTTTTAACAAATTAGGAAATCAGAAAGTTTGACTCTTCCAATGGGTTAATCTATTTCAATATCATTTTGGTTATGATAGTTCTTGCATTTCCAAATAAATTTTAGCATTGTGCCGGGGGTGGTGGCGCAGGCCTTTAATCCCAGCACTCGGGAGGCAGAGGCAGGCGGATCTCTGTGAGTTCAAGGCCAGCCTGGTCTACATAGTGAGTTCCAAGACAGCTGGGGCTACAGGGAGACCGTCTCAAAAAGACCAAATAAAATGACATAAAATAAATTTTAGCATTGTATTGTCAGTTTCTGCAAACATCCAGTTCAATGCAAATTGTGTTGACTCTTTTTATGTTTTGTTTTGTAAGAAAGCTTTTGTCTTTTTTTCCTCAAGGACAGTTTTATTAGAGTTTAAAAGCAAGATCCCAGGGCAGGCAGGCTCTAAGGGGTGGCATAAAGAGGAAGAGAGAAAGCCATAGCATTGGAGTTAGGCCAGCATGGAGCCTATGAGCGGCCACATGTTGGAGAATGAGACTAGAGAGTGAAGCCCAAAGTGTTAGGGAAAGCAATCTTAGAGCAGAGATAGAAAAAAGAAAAGGAAAAGTTAAACTTTTCTGAGTAACTCGAAGAAGCAGAACTGCCCTCTAAATTCCTCTCTGTGCACCTGCAGACCAGCGCAGCTCTCAGACCTCAGAGGAGTCTCTTTGTGCAGTGGACAGTGCTTAGAGCAAAAGTGTACACCTGGTCCAAATGCAGAGCTGAGTGCCTGTGGAGTGCTGAGCCACAAAGGGAGCATCTCTATCACACCCTCCTCCCTGCCAGGCTCAGGGACCATCACAGAAAAGGGGGCAGAGAGGTTGTAAGAGCCGGAGTCAGGAAGGACCAGAGTGAAATAGTATCTTCTGGACATGGCAGGACTGCCTTTGCCTGTACAAGATCAAGCCAGTCAACGTTCCAGCATGGAGAGGGGAGGGCTCACAAGCTCCCACCCCTAAGCTGAGGCACACGGTCGACAGTTGATGGCTTCTGGGGGAGGGAGAGTTCATTTTCTTTAAGGATGTGGCCACTGGTAGGTCAGCCATGCTCCTGTGACTGACCCCACACTCAGGAGTATATGGACAGCACAAATTAGATTTAGTGGGTTATAATAAAGTCAGGACAGCACAGGAGGATGGGAAAGGATCTGGGAGGAGTTGGAGGCGGAGTTAGGGGGAGTATGTCAAAAAAATCTATTGTATGCTTGTGTGAAATGCTCAAAGAATTAATAAAAGCATAAAAAAGAAAAGTGGGCAGGCTTATGAAGCTGCATCACTGCACTAGGGGCAGGACTTCTGGGAAGAAAAAGCACATTATTTCATTAAAGGGATAATTATTTCTCCTATCTCTTTAGCGTGGCTTATGGAGAACCCACCTACTTTGAGAGATGGTCCCTTAGCCAGGTGATTGACCGGCCCAGCAGTATTAACTTTTATGTTTTGGGTAGCTTAGAATGTTAGGTCTCCACCCAGACCAGAGAAATAGCTTTCCCTGATGGGCCCCCACAGAGCTCTGATCAAGGCTACTCTAACATTCTCCCCTGTGAAGAGATAACCCTAAAATCATTTAAGAACCAGATCAAGGATTAGAGCCCCTAAACACATTGCTTTCTACTTTTGAAGGATATCTTGTTGAGTAGAAAGTGAAACCCAGGTGTGGTAGTGCACACCTATAATCCCAGTACTCAGGAGACTGAGGCAGGGAGGATCAAGAGTTCTAGGCCAGCCTGGACTACATAGATGACCCTGTCTTAAAATCACTTTGTTACTGGGGAGATGACTCAGGTCCTTTAAAAGCAAGCATGAGGACCTGAGTGTAGACCCTTAGAACCTACGTGAAGCTGGACATGGCAGAGGGCTTCTGTGGGGCAATGGGCGGCAGAAACAGGAGAATCCCTTGAAGCTCAGGGACTAACTGGCCTGGAATACACAGTGGCAGGCAGCAAGAGACCCTGTCTCAAATGGCTTGGAAGGTGAAGATCAGCACCATGGCATGCCCACCCCAGCATTCACACGAGCATGTGCACACGCACATCATACATACACACATCGTACACAGACATTGTACACAGACATCATGTATATACATCATATACACACATTATATACATACATCGTATATACACATCATACACAGACATATATACACAGCATACACAGACACATCATATGCACACAGCATACATAGACACATTATACACACATTGTACACATATCACACACACATCAGACACAGACACACCATATGCACACAGCATACCACAGGGTACACACACATCACGTAAATGCATCAGACACATCATATACAGCCACTTTATATACAAATACAGACAGATCATGTACAGATACATCATGCATATGTATCATACACAAACACATCATACACATACCATACACATACATATACATATATCATACACATATATCATATACACATTGTGCACACACATCATGTACATACATACACATCATACACACGTGCATCACACAACACGGCGTACACACAGAACACGCACATGCATCATACATCATATGTCATGCCTCATATACATACACATGTCATACCCACATCATACATACACATTATATATAGGCATCACACACACACATACACAATCATACAAAGATTTTAAATGGCCACCTTTGGGTTTCATTAGTTAAAAGATTTACTCCATTGTCTCTAGCTTGCTGTCATCATAAAGCAATTCATCTTGCCTGAATAGGTGTGTCTCTGCTTAATTTGGAAACATACCACTGTGTTTTCATAGGTTCTGACTTCCTCTGTTAAAGGGATTGTGATGTTGCTAAGGAGCCATGTAGACAGCAGTCCTCTGAGCCCCCTCGTCTGTGGTGGTGCCCTGGGACAGGACTTGGCAGACCACTGTATCTACATACAAACAGAACATTCCTTTCTCTGGGGCCAAAAACAAGAGGCACATAGACTGTTTGCCAGGTAAGAAATCTTTACTCATCAGAGGAAATGTAAAGCTTCCCAAGCTCCAATTTTAATTATTTACTCTTTTAGACATTTTGTATGAACACATGAAAATAAAGGATTTTAAAGACAGAAACCCATGCAAGCACTAGTCCCCTCCTCCAGAGCTTCTGGAATGGAGAGTGGAAACTGCTGCCATTTCCTGTTCTAGGACAACTTCACAGTGAGAGGTTGGAGGGGAACCTCATCTGCAGTCCTGAAAACCCACTGCCACTGCCCCAGTTCCAGGTGACTTTCCCTACTCCAGGTCCCTCCCCTTCAGTGCTGCATGAGGTAGTACTGCCTGCCAACAGGAGTGCCATCCAAGAGCACCTGTGTGTGAAGACCTGGCTTGCTGTGGTTTGTGCCCCACTGGTCTTTCTGCCATAGGCTTGGTCCCCAGGATGATGGCCTTTCTGTGGTGGTGAACCCTTAAGAGAAGGGCCCCGTAGATGGGGGTTGGTTATGGAGGCTCCTCGCTTCTGAATGGGTTAGTGCTGATCTTGCAAAGTGGGTTGCATCTCTCAAGAGTGAGTGCCAATAGTAGTGTGCTGTTATAAGTGAGGCCATCATGTGCTTGGCCCCTTCTGCTCATAGCTGGCTCCCTTTCCTCTTCACCACGTTGCGATGCTGTCAGTGGGCCCCAGCCAGGCCAGCACCATGCTCTTTGGACTTTGCAGCTGCAAGTGTGAGCCAAATGAACCTTATTTAATTGTGGCTCAAATGGTAGTGATTTTTCTAGCTCTCTCCTTTTTGTCACTTTTCATATTTATTAAAGTTTTCTCTGAAGAGCTTTCCTTCACCAACTAAATTCTGTCATGCTGTCCTTCATATCTTCAAGTTTGTTGTTAGCCAGGCCTTCTCTGAACACCTGGATAAAACAGCACCTGAGCCTAACACCATACACAAGCCCATCTGCACATTTCTCTGTAATACCTGATACCAGCACTTTTCACATTTTAATACCTGCCACTGTGTGATGTCCTCCACCAACACCATTCATGTATCTTATTGTGTGTACTGTATGTATACTCCTAGGCTTGTTGAGGGTTTGGGTAGGACTTTTTGTTTCTTTTATTTTTATGACCCCACAACTAAGAGCAATACTGTAGAACAAGTAATCAATATTTATTCAGCATCGTCGAATGAATGTTAAGTTCTAGGAAAATTATACTAAGTACCTCAAGTACCATAAAATTGGAGATAATAATCCTAATTCTATAATAGTATTTTTAGGATTAAAAATGAATTTAAAAAGCCAGGTGTGGTGATGCAGGCCTTTAATCCTAGCACTTGGTAGGCAGAGGCAGGCAGATCTCTGTGAGTTCAAGGCCAGCCTGGTCTACATAGCAAGCTCCAGGCCAGCTGAGACTACAGGGAGACCTTGTCTCAAAAAGACCAAAAAAAAAAAGAAGCTAAAATCATAATAAATTATACATAAATATATATTTTGAGTTTTAAAAATTTTATTTTATGTGTATGCGTGTATTGCCTGCATGTATGTAAGTGCACCTGTGTCATGCAATGTCTGCAGAGGTCAGAAGAGGGCATCAGATCTACTGGAACTGGAATTACTGGCAGTTGTTAGCTACCATGTGGGTGCTGGGAATCGAACCCCAGACCTTGAGCAGCCATGTTCTTGACTGCTGAGCCATCTCTCTAGCCCCCATAAATATATTTTTGTAAAAATTTGGCCGGGCATGGTGGCACACACCTTTAGTCCCAGCAGAGGCAGGCAGATCTCTCTGAGTTCAAGGCCAGCCTGGTCTACATAGTGAGTTCCAGGCCAGCTGGGGCTTCAGGGAGATCCTGTCTCTAAAAGACAAAAAAAAAAAATTTTTTTGCACGTGTGTTTATGTGGTGTGTGCATGTGTTTATAAGTGTTCTGGGTGTGGATATGTGTGCATGTGCATATGTGTGTGAAGGCCTGAAGTTAATGTTAGGTGTCTTTCTCCATTGCTGTCCACTTTATTGAGCCATCATCTGTGACTAAATCTGGAGCTCACTGATTCTGGCTAGTTTAGCTAGCCAGCTTATGCTGGGGATGCCTGTCTGCCAAGTTCTGGGACTACAGGCCAGTCACCCAGCATTTCCAAGAGTGTTGGGCATCTGAACTCTGGTCCTCATGCTTGTGTGGCAAGTGCTTATGAGTCACTGTGAGTCACCTCCTGGTCCACAGGATGCTCTTCTGCTGTCTGCTCCATCAAGACAGACTCAGCCAGCCTGAGTGTCTCCCTAGGGGAGGAGAGTGCAGCTGGTAGATCACCTCCTCCAGGATGTGTTTCACGATTTGACAGGCCCATGAACTCTGTTCTCCTCCTTCATTCCTCACTCCTTTCTACTCTTCCCTCCCACTGCATGTCCCTTTCCAAGCCAAGACCTGGTGCTGTTGTCACTTTGCCCTCTCTATCAACTTGGCCTCCTGTTCAAAGAAACCAAGGCCACATGACACTCACAATACCTGAGAATGTGCCTATGGAGCCAGACAAGCAAAGTCCAACTATACATCACCCAGTTGCCTGCTTTCTTCCTACCTCACTCCTATCAAGAGGCTTTTTTCTTTTTTAAAAAAATTTTATGTGTATGCATGTATTGCCTGCATGTAGGTAAATGCACCTGTGTTGTACAATGCCCGCAGAGGACAGAAGAGGCTATCGGATCCCCTGGAACTGGAGTTGTGGACAGTTGTTAGCTGCCATGTGGGTGCTGGGATTTGAACCCGGGTCTTCTGCAAGAACAACCAGTATTCTTAACCACTAAGCCATCTCTCCAGCCCCCTCAAGAGGCCTTTTTCATATATTAATGAACTTTTGCCATGAAGAGGGACTTATGGTTTGGTGGCTTAGGGTTTATCCTCTGCAAGCAGAGAAATATAGTCTTAGACCCCAAGGTTGCCACCTTTAGATGTAGTGTTTTCAAGCCCAAGACCCTTCCTCTGGATACTGGATGGAATGCTTGCCTCCTAAGACTGTGATTAGGTTTTGGTGAAGCAACATTGTGAAGGGTTATCATGGCATTTGCAAACATCTGATGAAGGTGAGCCATTATGAACCCCACATTCAGGAACTCAGGAGGTGATGGGAGAGCTGCAATCCAGCACATGTGGGTCCTTCTGTGCCAGGTTTATGGACAGGCATGCACAGAGACTCAGAAGGGCCACTCCCTCAGAACAGCCCTTAAGCAGGTCACACAAGTTATGGGAGAAGGGTGAACAAGGAGGAACACTATGACCAGGATTTGGGTGGAATGGCACAGTGAGGTGGTAGAGGGAAGGACTCAGAGTGCTGACAGATGGGATGCTTGGAGTGGCTCTGGGAGAACTGGGTAGAGAGCAGCTTGGGGCCCGGTCCAGTGTGTGTGCTCTGTAAAGAGCTGCAGAACTTGAGGCTTTTCTCAGACATAAGCCCTGGGACATGTTCCTCAGCCTCTTGAGTCCAAGTGTCACTATGTCACTATGGACTGCAGATAAGAAATAACACTCACCTTAGTTAAGTTAATTGAGGTGTATATGTGTTATATAATGATGCCTTGCTATTATTGGTTATAATATGTTTACAAGATCAAAAGTTCTGAATCACTTCCTTCTGCTTCCCTGGGCCTGCACGACCCACAAGCCTCTCTCTGACCCACAGGCCTCTCTCTGGACCAACCCAGCTCTTCAGTGCAACCCCAGGAGCCCTTGGGACCGCTTCCCGCCCCCATCTTCCTTTGCATCTCTGGGTGGCACAGCCACCACCTGTCCTAGATCAGCATCTTTCCTGGGCCCGGCCGGGCCAGTCCAACCCCCAAATTCCTGAGGCCAAAATCTT